GCCTGAAGAGAGGCAGCTCAGTCCTGACTCGCCTCCTGGGCCCCCAACTGTAGCCCCAGGCCCTCCACTCCTCCCCACCCCTCCTGGCTGGCTCTGTGGCCGAGGCTGAAGGCAGAGGAGCCCCACAGACCAGGGAGACTCAGGGGACGGGGCAGGGGCCCCTCGTGCAGAGATGTGGCTTCTAGAGCGAAGCCTGCATGCCCTGGGGTCAGGGGAGACCCCCATGCTCGGCACCTCTGCCCCTCGCTCCAAATTCTTGCTGCGCACACTGCCCATCCTTCACCACCCACCTGCCTCTGGTGGCCTTGTGGGGGATGCTTTTTCTCTCCCAGCAGTACCAAACGCTCTTCAGGAACACAGAACGATGTCCTGTGGGTGAGGGGGGACACCCACCCCGGGACCATGCTGGGCACACGAGGCGGGCGGTGGAAGGAAGGAGACCAGGAAGGCCGTCTGCTTTGGGCTAGGCGGCCCCACTGAAGCAGCGTGTGTTTTGTTTTCTACGCAGACATTGTCAACTGTGACCTGAAATCCACACTGAGAGTGTTGTACAACCTCTTCACCAAGTACCGGAACGTGGAGTGAGGGGCACCCTGGCCCGTTCCCCGGCCACCTTAACCTGCTTGTTCCCGTGTCCAGCTCTGTGCTCTCCCGCCAGTCCAGCCACCGCCCGGGGAGAGTGGAGCTGAAGTTAGGAAGGAAATGATCAGTAACCGGGTGGGCTGACTCACACCTCCCAGGCAGTGGGGACTGACCCAGCCACTCCTCCCATCTGGCGCCAGCTCCAGAGTTCCTCAGTGCGATTCGGGAACCGGTTTAGGCACAAGAGACTCCCCTTAGAAGATGAAAACGAAGGTAATCGTTACCATTTAATGGTTGTAAACTAGGTGCCGGGCACACGCTAAGTGCTCTGACATCCTCAAACTCCTTAACACTCAAGGATCCCCACTGAAGCAGGTATTATAATCCCCTTGGAAGATTATAATGCTCAGATGAGGCAACTGAGGCTCAGAGAGGTTACGTGACTTGCCAGAGGCTGGCATGTGTTTTTCTTCTTTGAACATGCTTGTTAATAACTAGCCCATCCCATTAGTCTATAGTTGTGGGGGACGGTTTGGGCACCTGCACCCTCAAAGATGGCGGGAACCCACCCATCCCCCCACCAGGCGAGCTGCGTCGCGGCTTAGTGATTCACACTGAAATTGGCGAATCCAATTTAAGTCAATTAATAGTGTGTGTGTGTGGCAGGAGTCCTGTCCCTCCACTACTTTGTACAAATGAAAATTACTCTTAATTCCTTCAGATTTATAATAACCCCATACTCTGGTTTCAGGGTGATATTTGGGAAGAATTCTGTTTAAAATTAATGGAGTGGCACATTCTGCAGCCTTTTTGCTTGATTGCATGTAATGGAAGTGCCCTATATTTTCCTGCAAAATAAGTACTCAATTCATTATCGTTAGGCAAATGTACGGTAGCCTCAGGCACCACAGAGAGCTGGGCGCAGGCCCACGTGAGCGTGGCTTGGGAAGCAGGGCCCTTCAACAGGGACCCTTGAACTTTAAAGAAAGGAACTCCTTTTTGCCTTCTAATTGATCATTTAGACCATTCCTGGCGAAGTCTGCCCACATGCAATTACTGGCTAATTCAAGCGAGGAAAAATGTAAGTCATTTAGACCCAAGCCGAGCAGTTTCCTTGCGTGGGTTTACTCGCGGCCTTGCGGTTACTCGTATCCCCTCTCTGTGAACCCAACTCTGAAATATAGGTCTGGTAGTCCCAGGCTGCTGGGTTCTGCGAGAATAGAAAAGGGGCCAAAATGGGGGTGACCAGAAGGACAAGAAGCAGGAGGAAGCATTTGCACACTTGACATGGGGAGGGGGACACCCCTAGAAGAGGGTTGGGGCTTGTGGTACTTAACACTTGTACCCTTCCATTGACCAAGGCCTTGGGGTAAATAGTAACTCGTTCTCATATTATATCTTCATTATAGAATTTTCCTAAACATGCCAGATGGACACCAGCCTGTAGACCCGCCTCAAGTCTGTGCCTGCTTTGGCACTACTTTCGGCTCATTGCCCAAAGCCCACCTCTAGTTTGAGGAATTAATTTTGATCTCCATCTACAGCCCACAGCCCCACCCCACCCCCAACAAGTTGGGCCTCCCATATTGTCCCAAACATTTCCTTCCAGCTTCGACGCATTTCCTGCTATCTGCAGTAACTCAGAACCCATAAAATTTAGATACACCACAATATTTCCGTGGACATTTTGCTCTAAGAAATCACTGTTACTCAGCATAATGAGCTTTTAAGATATAAAGACAATGTACTCTCTCGTGCCAATTATGTAAAAGAATACAACTCTTTTTATGTGATTAATGAAATACTACATTTTTCATTAGGAAACACTAAATACTATAATATTTCTGTGTGTGCTCATGTAAATTCCTGACAGCAAATCAAGATAAACCATTGCTTTGTCTCCTTGAGCAGTCCAGAAGCGGGATGAAATGAGAGGAATGTGTTCACTTAAACATGCTTTGCTATACGAATTTTGTCTCCTCTGTTGTCCTTTTTTCTTTATATTCACGCTGCAAATGTACAAGGTACGAGTGGCCTCATTAAGAGCCCTCCTTTCGTATTTTGCATATACATGGTATGGAAATGCATGAGAACGCTGGGCAGGTTTTCAATAACGGGGCTAATTTGTCAGAATACTATGTCTCAAGATGGAGGTCTTTGCCTCATCTTTGCCCAGACCTAGGGCCCGGGTCCGACATCTCACCTCCTCTGGAGGCTTTCCTTTAGATTCTAGAATCTCTTGCTGAATACGCGACCATGTTTTTGAAGGTGGAGAAAGGGATCAGAACAATAAATAAACCAAACTTAACCCTCACCTCTTTAAAAAGAAGAAACCAAGAATCAACTCTCTGTAGGCTTACTGCCTCTTTTT